AACTGCAACTTTACACAGCCACAGAAGATGGGAAAATTTAGTCCTCACTAATGAGCCTCTGTGCTGGACCTTGATATATTCCTGCTGTCTGCTTGTTATGAAGAGTATGAAACTGGATCTGGAGCACCCTAGGATCCTTTGTAAACAGAGGTGCATAAATAATGAACACAAAGCTAGGGGCATTCTGTGATGCAACTGAACTTACAGTTAGGCAACCTGGTACAATTGCTTCTAAAGTTTACTAGAAATAACCCCAGTGATGTCAATGGAATTGAACAAGAGAGGAGTTTGAGCCCACTGTACCTGTACATCCTACCTAATATTTAAACTGCAAAGTATTTAACCATCTTGAAGGTCCAGTTTGTAACACTGAGCATCTACCAAAAGTCACATAGCACAGAAAAATAGTTAACTAACTCTTCATTCCTGCAAATAACTGACACCAGAAAAGTCAAATGCACTATAGAAACACTGCACCATTAAAGAAAAAAAATCTCTGCAGCACTTCCAGCTTCCATCTCCATTATTTGTCTTTGTCCTGTATTAAAAAGGGCAATGTTAATAATTTTGCACTCAGGACAATACAGAGGTAAGGTAATAAACAGTCACATACATGCTAAAGTTCGAGCTTCAGAGCTAGAGTCTGAACTCATTAATGCACAGTAACTTCTTAAAGTTATCCTATATTTGTGCTGGTGTAAGTGAGATCAGAATCTGGATTGATTCTTAAGCTTCTTATTCTGAGGAAGAATCAGATACTCTAGACCAGAGGTTCCCAAACTTTTTCTTATTGCATACCTCCTTCCAGATTCACTGGCTGCCCACATACTCTACGAGCATACATTTTATATTTTAACCCCTTAAATGCTGATTATTATCATGAAAATTAAAACCGCCATTACACAATTTCTCCCGCATACCTCCCAGAGATGTTTTATGTACTCCCAGTGTGGGAATCCCTGCTCTAAACCAATTTCAGAAGTAATTCCCGCTCAACAACTTTCATCCCAGAAGGTCAAATTTTTAAACACAGATAATAACAGGGCATTTGAACCTTCATGTACCTTCAATTTATTACCACACAGTGAGACCATTCAATCTAAGCACACACATGCATTGGATATGGGAGATGGAACTAATTCACAGAATTCAGCTCTTCCTACCATGTTTGGGAGTGTTTTCATCTCAGTTCTGTTGTTGTGGGACCATTTCAATTAAAATATCTCCATTGATGGGGTTGTGCTGGGTAATATGAACCCTCTAAAACAAGTATACTTTAAAAAAATAGGATGAATCATTACAGCATACACATATACAAACATACTGGTCTCACCTTTATGATACTTAGACTTCCATGCTCAAAAAAATAAATATATGTATATACATACACAAGCTCATATGCATATATTGACCTTCCATTAATTATTCCTATAATGTTTGCACATACAGAAGCACTAAAAGGTATGTACATGTGAAACACTGTTCTGTGCCTGACACCTAGTGGTAGGGTCTGAAGTAACCAGAAAATTAACAAGGCCAGAGACAACACAAATATAACAGAAGGCTTGATCCTCAAGAATAACATGAAAATTCACTTGTCCACTGGATCTTTTACCTTCATAAAAGTCTGTTCTCGTAATAAAAAATATGCAAAATCTCCTCTGGCATATTGAACCTTGTTATTGACCATAGATGCTTTAATAATTCACTACAGCAATACATTAAAACCCATTAAACTTCTTCACATTTTCCACCTGAACAGTCTTCCTGGCTGAAATGGAATTGGAAGGTAGGTAAGTGCCTTTTGTCAAAGATGGCAATCTTGTGTAATGGGTAAAATTCCTATAACTTGCATAAAAAATAAATACAAAGCCATTTACATTATGATTCCAGGAAGCTCTCTGTGGGAGAGAGATGGGAAGATAACAGATATAGATGGGTGAGAATGAGGGCATTTGGGTAGATTTGGCTTTAAATATACCTATGGTCTTTAGCTCTTGGAATTCTTTAAGAAGATACAGTTTGTTACCTGGCATCTCCCTTTTCTATTTTAAGCAGAAGTATGAAGGCAAACTTGGATCCAACCTAGCCTGAATTCTCTTCCTTGGGTAATAAAACCTTATAAAATAAGCCAGTCTATATTTGACTGTCTGAATACAAAGCAACCAAGCTCAGCCCAAAATAACAACTGATGATATTCTATAAAATGGTTATAGAACTCATTATAGCACATTAATAGGAAGACAGTTCCCAGATAGAACACACACATTCCCACAGTAATGTCAGGCCATGGCCTCAACCCAACCAACACACCCATTTAGCCTAGTCTGCCACCCTAGAGCTGATCACCTAGACTGATCCAGGTTGGCCTAAAACCACAGGACCTAACCCTTCACCCACTCCCTGTCACCAGAGTGGACAGCCAAGGTCAGTTGACTCTTGACTTCCCCATATAAACCCTTGAGGAGGGCCATGAAGTGTTTGGGCAACAGGCAGTACCATAGAAAAGGGGGCTGGGGGGGTTAGTGGGGTGAATGCCCTGGGTGCCAAAGGGAAGCGACACCAACAGGCGTGGGCCAGCCAGGGCGGGGTGTGTGACAGAGCAGCAAGCAGCTCATTTGGGGGTGTGCCAGGATGAGGGAAGGGCAGCTTCTGCTGCTGCATGCACTCCCAGGTAAGTATGGGGGGGCATGTTCCCCCCAGATCTGTGTGTGGGGCAAAGGCCGGCTGCTGCTGCAGGCTTGCCACAGGTGCCAGACTTCCTGGATACAGTACTGGCAACGGGACTTAACCTGATCCAATACTGCATTGCTGGTCCCTGTGGCTTGCTCCTTAACTCTAATCTCTGCTTGATCTCCTGGCTTTTTTACTCAGTTGGCTCCTAGACCCTGCTCTTGGATTGTCCTCAGATTCTGCTCACCTATCCTGACCCTGGTTAGCACCTTGATCTGTGGAGAGGCTCCAGACATGATCATCCATGCCCCAATGTGACAGTTTGCCTGAACCACCCCATTCAATGAAGAAGGCTCAGCATGGAACACAATCCGGTGCTGGTGCCCTCAGACTCACTGCTTTGGATGCTGCAGCCTTGGGAAGACCTGCAGGCTAGGTAAGACCATCTACTCTGGCTTGTCTCTGAAAAGTCCTAAAAGCCTGGATACAGCAGCTGTTGGCCAATCACCAATCCCTCCAGTCCTAGATTGTGTACCACCAAGAGAATAGCCAGTGCTGAAGAGGCACAGCAGCTGTGGGAAGAAATAACTGTGCTTCAGGCCTGTCCTGCAGGTCCAGTCCTGTCCTCTTCTTCTGCTATGTGGGGACTGGTGCTGCTTCAAGGGGTTTCTTATCCAATGCCACCTTTTGTTCTTTGCTCAACCTACTCCAAGGATCAGGCAAAAATGAGCCTTGTCATAAGTCTATGGTGGAGCATGACAGCCCTGTTCTCTAGGGCTGGGAGGCATTCCTTCAAGCAATCTCCATGATGTTTGACCCTCACTGGGCATGGACAGCATTAGGGAACCTACACTGAGGCAGGGGACTACCACCACCTATGCATCCCTTTTCCATCGCTACACAGCAAACACCACTGAAATGAAGTGTCCTAGCTTTATCACTTCTGGTGGGCTCTGCAGGATGAGGTAAAAAATGAACTGGTATGAGTAGAGATGCCTTTGGGGTTCAGTGGCTTCATGGACCTGGCAGTACATCTTCACCATTCCTTCCAGGAGTGGAGGGAGGAAAAAGGCACTCCCTACCCGTTCCAGGTCCCTGCCGGTAGTAGTTATTTCCAAACTCATGCAGATTAACTCGGGGAAGGGGTAGTGTTGTCTTACCCCAGATGAAAGGAAGTGCCATTGCCAACACAATCTGCGTCTCCAAAGGGTGTCCTCTGCCCCAACAGAGGGGACCATGCAAATAAGCCACCCCAGATGCGGTAAGGAGGAGCCAGCTGCAGTCTCCACAAACTCCTCTTACTCAGTAATAGAATCCTGCAACAAACCTGACCCACAGAACCCTCAGTTACAGCTATTCATCCACCTCCAAGTCCCAGGTCAAATCCTCCTGTTGACTAACTGTCTTACTGGACTCTGGGGTAGTGGGCAATGTCATCAAAGAGACTGTAGCCCAGGCCCCATAAATCCCATTACAACAACGGTTGAAGCTAGAGACCATTGAGACTACAGATGACTCACCTCTAGTGTCCAGACCCATGGGAGTGGGAGATCACCACTCTGGAGGTGAACATCCATGGACATCCTGAGACTCTATGCATCAGAGAAATCCATTTCCAGCATTATACCTTTATTCTAGGGTTCCTCTGGCTCATCTGCCATCACCTGCTGGTCAGCTGGAAAGCCTAGGAAGTTCACTTTGGTTCCAGCTACTAATGGCAATGCTGCTGGAAACCCTGGCTTGTTTCTAGACTCCACTCTGCTTGATTTCCCAGCTCCTTGACTCAACTCATTCCTAGACCCCACTCTCAGATTGACCTTGCTTTCTGACCCAGTTTTTTTTTAAATTCTGCTCACCCATCCTGACCCTGATCAGTGCCTCAGTCCCTGAATGGCCCCAGACCAGGAGTGTGCAATTATTTCAGGCAGAGGGCCACTTACTGAGTTTTGGCAAGCCACCAAGGGTTGCATGACAGGCAGCCAGGGGCAGATAAATATTAATTTTCTAAATTTTTTAGGGGCCCTGCAGGCTGGATAGAATGGCCTGGTGGGCCACATCTAGCCCGCGGGCCACATTTTGCCCACCTCTATCCAGACTCAGCTGCCACATCCCAGGTAGGACAAATAATTGTGATTCAATGGGCACGTCTACACATAATGCTATGTTGCTGTAGCAAAGCACTATGGCGATGTAGCATCCATAGGTATATCTGCACGTGACCAGCCCCTATGTCGCTGTAATAATGTGTTCCCAATATAGCATGCTGCTACAGTGATGTAGGGGCTAAAAATAACTGTGCTCAGTGCACATGGTGCAGTACGGGTAGTTACTGCACCATCTTTTAGTACTTCCTTTTGGTACTTCCAAGGCATAGTACTTCCTTTTGGTACTTCCAAAAGGCTTTATGCCAACTGCATTTAGAATCTCCTTCTGAAACCCATCTGAACAAAAACATCCACTAAATAGAATGCAGTCATTCTAGCTACATACCAAGATTTTACACTTCCCAGGAATCTTGCGTCTGGCCTAACATTACGTTCTTGTGCTTTAGATGTGTACCTGCTGGTCCTTAATCTCACCTACCCATTTTAATTAAATAGTATGTGGACAACGTTCATTTTCATTCATTCTCAAGAAGTACTCTTAGTAAGGTATGTGATTCCTTTATAGTGAACTATCCTAAACAGGTTTGAGGAAAGAAATGTTTTAGCCTCTAAGCTTGTATGTAATGTATATCCACTATCAGACTTGTTTGTCCAATAAACAATATCCCATTATTATCCTTCTCCAGTGAGAGACATACTAACATTATTAGTAAAAAAGATCTCCATATAAAACGTCTGCTGAGAGCAAGGCAACTTTATGGAGAAACAACTCACAAAACAATCCAGTTATCAAGAGATATTTCACACTTCCAGTCCAAGGTCATTCACAGCTGCCAAAGTCTAGCAGTATGTCTTCATGAGTTTGGGGACTGGTCAGAATTCCTGTACTTTCTGTCCTGCAGAAGACAGTGAGAGTCATTCTAGGGAATTCTCTAGTCGCTTGATATTGGTCAAAGAAGTCAGATGGTTTCTTCTACCTACAAAGTGACAATGAGGGTTGTCCCTTTTCCGCTGGAATTGACTCCTTACTGCTACAGGATTGCCTGTTCATTGTGGTGAGATTCAAGTGATAGGAAGACGGCTTTCCATGTCCAGGGACTTGGTGGAGTTTCCACATAGTACTGAAATGAAAAAAATTGAAGCGAAATTTGAAGCAAGGTACAGGTGAAACCCTACACAAGGGCTGCATCTTCTTTATGCTACCACTGCAGAAGGATTTGGGACCAAATACCCAGAAAAATTTCCTGGTATGGTACTGATTTTCTGTATGCATCAAAGTTGGAGTTGACCTAATTGTGATTGCTCTTGTAATGAAAAGTATTGAACAATGATTTGCCTCCATGTAGCACTTTCTATCTGAAAATTGCAAAACACTTTCCAAATATTCAAAAAATTAAACTTTCATAGGAATTAAGGCTAGAAGATACTACTATGCTCAACTAGTGTGACATATAGCATTGCACAGGTTCGAAAATTGAACCAAGTAATTTTAGTACTTAGCCCATCATTTCTTTTTGAGACAGCACATCTTTTAGAAAGATATCCATCCAGCCTTTATTTAGGACTTAAAGTGATAAAGAATCCACTGTGTCCCTAGATAAACACATTTCACAGATGAGCCTATGAACTTCACTTCATCAACTGCCTAGAAGCTTCGGTCCCTGATTCGATTCGGCCGAGATTCAGCCTGATTTTGTGGCTGAATCTCTGAATCCAAATCAAATCAGAGGACCCTTTAATCTCTATGAGTCGATTTGGAGAGATTTGGACAGATTTGGCAATTCGGATGTAGATAAAACTTTAGATGTTTTTTTACATACCTCTAAGTAGCGGGGGCTCTGAATGCTACAGTGCTGGGGCAGATGCAGCGTCCCTCAGAAGCACAGGGGACTCCCTAGTGCACTCAGCAGCAGACCCAGAAGTGGACCAGAAGCACTTCCAAGTCCACCGGGGAGTGTGCTGGGCCCTCCCCCACACCCGTGTTTCCCTAGCTTGGTGACTGGTGACTTCTGGGTCTGGGGGGGCACCTGACCAACTGCCAAGCCAGCAGGGGTTTGGGGGGCCCCCAGCACGCTCCCCAGCAGACCCGGAAGTGGACCAGAAGTACTTCAGATCCACTTCCAGGTTTGCTGCCGAGCACACTGGGGAGCCCCCCGCACTGCTGTGGGATGCTCCATCTGCCCCAGCATCACAGTGCTTATGAGCTGCGCTATTACCTCAAGGTATGTAGAAAAAACTTAAAGCTGTGCCTGTGTCTGATATGGCTGATTCACTAAATCACCATTGAATCGTTAGATCTGGATTCAGCTGAATAGAATCAGGAATACTGATCCGAACGAACAGATTGAATCACTGTCCCTGATTCGGGTGAAATCTGAATCCGAATCGAATAGGGCCTGTTTCGCACACCCCTAACTATAACCTGCCCAACATCTGACTCCCCAGGTACCTCTCCACTTTAACCTGCTACATCCCCCTTTCCCCCCACTCAAGCCTGTCCCTAACCCCGACACCTCAATTTACATTTTCACTGACTGGCTTTCTTGCCTGCATTGCTTGCCAGCCTCTGGCTTCTTTACTATTCCTTCCATCCAGGAAGAGCGCATGTACCACCTGCAGATGCTTCCTCAGCCTGACAAATGGTTTCAAACCCAAAAGCTTGCTTTGCTTTTAGGCTAAGCATTTAGGCTGCTGACGTCGATGGGTGACATCCATTCCACAGCTCCATACCTTCCCTACACTGCGGCCCATGCCTTGCAGATGATATCCCAGGCAGCTAAGCTCACCTGGAACCTCACAACTCCACTGCAACCAGCAAGCCTCAGGCCTCTCAAAGATCTTACAGCTCTGGGCTTTCCCTGAACCTGTTCAGCCTCCACAAGAGAAGGCTGAGAGGGAATCTGGTGGTTGTCTATAAACTTAGCGGGGGGACCTGCTGGGAACAAGAGAGTCCCTGTTCCCCTGGGCACTATCAGAACTAACTAGGAATAAGGGCCGCAAGTTGATTGAGTGTAGGTTCAAGCTAGACATCAGGAGGCACTACTTCACAATCAGGGCAGCGAGGATCTGGAACCAACTTTCAAGTGAAGTGGTGCTCGCTCCTACCCTGGGGGTCTTCAAAAGGAGGCTAGACGCCTGGGTCATTTGACCTCAGCATTCTTTCCTGCCCGTGGCAGGGGGTCGGACTTGATGATCTGCTCAGGTCTCTTCCGACCCTACCAACCATGAAACTATGACTGTGCCTGCATATGGTGGCTGGAAGTTTTCAGGTGCATCCTACCTGCCTTCCACCAGGGAGGTTTGCAGTCCTGGCATTTCCTGGGGGCTGCCACACCACTGGCAGTCCCACCAAGCCTCCTGACCCTGGCAGGGTGCAGTTTTAGGTCATGCCCAAGACCTGGGGCATCCTCCTTTCCTATAGCCCCTGTCCATATCTCCAAGTTCATCCTGGCAAGAGAGTTCAGCAGGGACATGTTCTTCCCCTGCTGGCTGGTGATAGAGTGAGTGTCACCTCCAGCTCTGAGAGCGGGGCATTAAATGGGGTGTTTTTTAAATCTAAAAAGGAAACAGGTGTGGACGGAGTGAGGAGGGTGGCACTCACTCTGTCTGCACGTGGAGCTTGGGGAACCCCAGCAGTGGGTGGTTCACCATGAGGAACACCACCTGATCCACCAAGCCAGGATCCAAGGAGGTGCAGTGGGGTGTCACAATATCCCCAGCAATGCTGAACACCCCCTTGCTCAGAACACTGGTTGGTGGACAGGATAGGTGTTCCCGGGCAACCATGGCCAGATCCTGCTACATCTGACTGTGGCTTGCTCATTAGGCCAAGGGGTTGCAGAGCAGTGGCTCCATGTCCTCAGTGAGATAGACAGCTACCGAGGCCTCAGTGCTACCTGCCCGATGCTGGGGTCTGGTACCTCTGGACCCCAACATGGAAGCCATGCCCTTGGGGGAAACAGTAGGATGTTAGTTTCTGGAATCCCTGTTGTTTGAACAAGAATCCCAAGGTTGCACCTGTCTCTCCAGGGTGGCAATGCAAAACACACAGCTGTTTCTTTTTGTATCCACTACTTTTGTAACTTTCTCACCTCAAATTGTCCGGTCCTCAAGTTTCTTATCTCATCTTTTTAGATAAGGTATTCCAATCCTATACCGTTTTTGATTTCTTTTCCTTTAGAGAAACTACTGTACCTGGTTAGCCCACTGTACCAATCACACCATTCACTTTTCCCACTGCCTTATAAGGCACTCTGTACAATTTAATTGCTTAGTTCTGGGAAGGCCTACACTATGGTCAAGAGCCTTAGCAAAACTCAGTTTTTCCGCTACACCCCTCACCCCTGGAACATGTGTAAAAGTGCCCATTGTTTTTAAGATGAAAGGCACATATTTGTGTTTTCTGTTGAGCTTTCTGTTGAGCTGCGGGGGACATAACAGAAGCATTCACATTGTAATCCCTATCAGGTAATACCTGGTAAGACCTGAAAATTCTGCTAACACTCTGACCATGATTTCGACTATGGAGCTAAGACAGCAGCAGTAGTTCTGTAGCTGGAGAAGCAGTGCAGTTGCATTCCTATGCTCCTGAACAGTTTTTCTGAAACACCACTTGCCACCCCAGCTCTACCTGCCCTCTTTCCTGAGCACCCCCTTACTCTAGCTATTGCTTCAGTTGCTGCTTAATTTGTTGCTGGCAATAATAGGTGATGATGGGAATCTGTGGTGAGGGGTAAGGGATGGCAGCAGCGGTGGCAGAAGGGAAGCTCAGCAGCCCTGAGTACAAAGCAGGGAGGACTGAGATGGTGGCAGGTGACTTGGTGGTGGCAGTAACAGTGACAATGGTGGGATAAGCAGTCATCTTCAGACCCAGGTGCCTTATACTTAAAGGTTGCCCATCCCACACCTAAACCACATAATACTGTTTCCATTCCATTCTCAAGCTCTGTGCAATCTTCAACCTTAGTCCTGTGAAGGTATTTTTGAGTATAGGGAAAGGATGTACAGAGGCACAGTCAATAGATGGATATGTATTTACTGGTTATGCCTAGCCCCAATATAAAGCACTTGCATTGGTCACATTTCCACTAATTCTCAGCAGCCTGAGAGAAGGATTCTCTGCCTCTGGCTCCTGTTCCCAGTCCCAATTCATGACCACTTTTATGTGAGCTTTACACAAAAAAGATTCATGGTTAGTGCTTTGGGCTGTTTATCTCTAGAATCAACAGGACACCGGTTTATCAAGTTACCAACTACACATTCTTCACAATTTGTTTAACAATTACCTTAATTTTTTATATGTGTAGCCCAGGTGGACACAGGTTTGTACTCCCCTCTCTAGTTGAGGGAATTATTGGTAGGGCAGTGTGCTGTGGAGGGACACAGCAGCCCAGTGGCCACCTCCATCCCCTATAGAGTCAAGCCCAGTAAATCAATTACTTAAACTATATACAAACGTATTATTACAACAAAACTGTGAAAGGGTAACAACATAGATTTTATATATATATATATATATATATATATATATATATACATACACACACACACACACACACACGACAGGAGGTATGACTGTGGGATCACATATTAGATCTAATCACACCTTATTGCTGGTGTAGAGGAAGCTTGATCCTGGGCCTTTGCTGAAATGGACCACAAGGGCCACATGGAGCCAGGACCAACAGTCCCAGCAACTGACAGGGCTCCTGGTTCTAGTTGTGAGAGGTGCGGCTGGGGCTGAGAGCTCCGTGTGGGCCAGGGGTTTCACCCACCCCCCAAGCTTTGGGGATCACAATAGCCGTGACCTCTAGGGCTCAAGGGTTTCACACTGGCCATGGCGCACCCCTGCAGGTGGGAGCCCTGTCAGCCACTGGGGAGATGCTGCTTGCAAATTAAAGCTCAATAGCAACCACCTATAAAGCTACTGCACATTTTCAAGGTCTAACTTTATAGTTGGTTGGAGCCTTTTATTATATGATAGCTACTTTGCATGTGGACCTGGTCTCAAGGTAATTCTGTAATTAACCAGGTAATTGTGTGGTACCTGTAATGCACAGACGGGGCCTAACTGCCACAGTGGTTAATCACGTGGAGAAATCTTTCCAGCTGGGAACGAATGAACCTACAAGCAATCCCAAAAAACTATGTTGCAACATTTCACCAGATTATATCTGCAATATTGTTGCAGGGGATTCTGGGGGTCAGGAACGTTTTGCTTTTGCAAAGGGCAGCTAGCTTCTCCCTGCCATCTCATTTAGCCCGAAATAAAATAACCTAGAGCACACCAGCAGACACGACGACACTCAGGGAGAGGTGGGGACAGAGCTGGGGGGCGGGACCTCTCTACCCGGAAGGGGAACTGTGTACCCCGGCCGTGACTACCGCCGCGCATGCGCGCTGGGCCTGGAGAGCGGCCGGAAGCATGGAGCTGGGCGCACGTGTATCGGCGCTGTCTGTCTATCGCTCCGCGGTCAGAGCGGGGCCGGGGCTGGAGCGGCGCGGGCTGGGGCGCGGGCTGCCGCTGTCCCCGCGGAGCCGCCGAGTGAGGAAGCGGCTGAAGCAAAGCAGGAGAGCGGGGCTCGGGGGCTGTCCCGCCCCGCCGCTGCAGCCCGGAGCGCCCGGCCCCAGCCCGGAGGTCGCCAGGGGGAAGCCGGGGAGGAGCCGGCGGGGAAAGGCGGGAAGCAGGTCCGTGCCCGCGCCCGCGTTGCCAGGCCAAGGGCCCGAGGTGCAGGGGACCCCCCCCACTCCAGTGCCCCGCGCTGCAGCAGCAGCAGCAGCAGGGAGCGGGCCCGGCAGCCCCGGCGTGGCGGCCGTGCTGCGGGAGCTGGGCTACGTGGCGCACAGCAGGCAGCGGGGAGCCCGGCTGTTCCAATGGATGCTGGCCCCGGTGCCGCCGCAGCGCTTCTTGGAGCAGAGCTGGGAGAAGCAGCCCCTCCTGATACAGCGGCACCAGCCCAGCTACTATCAGGGGCTCTTCTCCACGGCTGAGCTGGACAACATCTTGCGGGGTGGCTGCGTGCGCTTTGGGCTTCACCTGGACGTGACCAGCTATGTGGCTGGAGTCCGGGAGACCCACAACCCTGTGGGCCGGGCACTGCCGGCCACTGTGTGGGACTTCTATTGCCACGGCTGCTCCCTTCGTCTGCTGAACCCACAGGCCTTCTCTGCCACCGTCTGGCACTTCATCTCCATCCTCCAGGAGCAGTTTGGAAGCATGGTGGGTGCCAATGTGTACCTGACACCCCCTGGCACGCAGGGCTTTGCGCCCCACTATGATGACATCGAAGCCTTTGTGCTCCAGCTGGAAGGGAAGAAGCACTGGCGTGTCTACGCCCCGCGCAGTGAGGCCGAGGTCTTGCCCCAGTTCTCGAGCCCCAACTTTGCTCAGACAGAAATTGGGGAACCTGTTCTGGAGACCGTCCTTGAAGCTGGCGACCTGCTCTACTTTCCACGTGGGTTTATCCATCAAGGGGACTGCCTGCCTGATGCACACTCACTCCACATAACAGTATCCTCCTACCAAAGGAACTCCTGGGGAGACCTACTTGAGAAACTCCTCCCAGCTGCCTTGCAGATGGCCATAGACGAAGATGTGGAGTATAGGCAAGGGCTCCCTTTAGACTACCTGGAATACACAGGGGTCCAGAACTCAGACATGGTTGATTCTCGCCGAAGTGCCTTTATGGAAAAAGTGCAAAGTTTGATGAAGAAGCTGGTGGATTATGCACCAATCGATGCCGCAGTGGATCAGAAAGCTAAGTCGTTTCTCCATGACTGTCTACCTCCAGTGCTAACAGAAACTGAAAGGATGCTGAGTGTACATGGGCTTCCAGCCAGATGGGAAGATGGAGGTGCCCTTGATGTTGAGATACCAATAAAAAAAGAGACTCAGGTACGGCTGCTCCATTGTGGGGTCCTTAGATTGTGTAATGATGAAAACGGCATGGTGCTATATTACACAACAGAAAACTCACGAGTGTACCACGAGGAGGAGCTCAAGTACTTGCAGATAGATCCTGAGTTCACAGATGGGATCGAATTTCTGCTTACTTCCTATCCAAAGTATGTCACTGTGGACACCCTTCCATGTAATTCCATGGATGAAAAGGTTTCCTTGGCCACATTTTTGTTTGAGAAAGGCTTGTTGATTACCAAGAAACCTCTAGTATCTGTGTAGCTGTTTGTATTATGAGCAAAATAAACACAGATTGATTTGGAAAGAAATAAACCTATTTTGTTCCTACCTTGCACATACTGGTAAACCTGAATTGGGGGTCCCAATCTTGGAAGTCACTGTGGTGGAAGAATAGCTTTCTCCTGGGTCAAAAGACAAAACATTTTCTAAAGAATAAGTACACAAGAAGCAGGTATCTTAGCATGTCCACTGTGGCATAGACTTAAATGTTATCACAGCTGCTGTAATTATTCCTTAATACTCTCTGCAAGCTAGTTTGCATATTCCTTTGCCATATATGAGACAAAATAAGGTCTACCAGCTCTTACTTTGACATGTTTTGGAGTGATGTTCATTAAGACTGCCAGAGACATTTTTTGCTGTATGAAGAGGCATTATATAATCAATTTGAATGCTATACTGCAGCTCTGGCTGTTTGGGCCATCTATATGGGTATTTGATAACAATGTGCAGCAGAGCATATATCTAAACAATTGTTCATTCAGATCAATAAATTACAGATTCATATAGGACTTGATTATGTGAGGTGCCAATGGCTTTTGAGTCATTAAAAAGTTAAATACTGTCATAAACATGGCCCTCAATTTATATAAGTGAGTAATTTGTATTAAAGCTTTGTGTTTGTTTCCTGGTTTGAAAGTAAATATATATTTATTGGTATAGTTGGATGTCATGAGATTTCCAAAGAATGCCTTTTACAGCTTCTATGTTGGTGGAATAGCTTCAAGGCACACTAAACCAATTTTAAGCTACATAATTTTGAACGTAGTTACATTAAAGATAGCTCTGTCCAGGCAGCATTCAAACAAGGCTCTTCAGTAGTTTGTAAAATATATGAAAATTAAATTATGGATGCAGATTGCTTTACCATGTTACACAGTTATGAATGATTTAGCACTAAAAACCTGTAGAGCAAGTTCATGATGGAAAAGGGGGAGAGAATGTATCACGGGGCACATCTACGTTTGCATATTAATGTGATGCCGTTAACTCCAGCACATATTGTGCCAGAGTTTATTGCTCCCAGATGCTGTATTTTCCATGTGTGCCTGGGACTGCAGCACACTGAGCTGTGTCAGAGCAACTGCAGCTGGCAAGGGATCCAGGGAGTCAGCCTACCAGCTTGGGGCTGCTCTGACCTGGCTCAACGTGCTGCAGAGGGGCTGGCTGAGGCACAAAGGTGCTTCATTGTGGGGCTAGCCAGTAGGCAGCCCCATATTGAAACCCCTTTATGCCTCCGCCAGTTACATCAGCATCTACATGTGCATTGCTTCAGAGTAAAAAAACTGCAGTAGGATAGTACTTGTAAATACAAGTACTACCCTGCCTCAGAGTTAATTAGTTTCTTGTGTTTTAATAGGGCTGCATATGTAGATGCAGAGACATTTACTGCAGAGCTAATTAGTCTATTCCATAGTAAATGTCTCATGTAGATGTACCCAGGGAGTTCAAAGGAGGTGTTAACTAACATATCAAGAAGCTTTGTGGGTGGGGAACTATTTCATAGATCCCTTCTTGTTAGGAGAGGAAAACCTACATCTTTCTCCTCTAGGTGTAAGTTGCAGTAGCCTAATTTAAAACACACTAGGTGACACGGGAACACTGTAGATACAAGCTTATAACCTTACAGAGTAGATACAAGCTTATAACCTTACAGAGAGAAGCTTATACAAGCTTATAACCTTACAGAGTAGGGTTGTCCTTAATGGGTGTACCTGCTTGTCCTTAATCTGACCTAACCTTACAGAGTAAATACAAGCTTACAACCTTACAGAGAGAAGTGGGTATTTCCAGATATTGCTATGTAAGAAGTAAAAGGATGCTGTTAGATTTTTGTTTTTGTAGTTTTAATCTTCCTTTCCATGGGAAACAGCTCATTCTAAGCAGGAGTGCTTAGTATCTTAAGCTCTTTTATAGACATGCCAATTCCTCTTTCCATAATTAATATAAAGCTGCTTCCTATCAGCCATAGCACTCAGGACTCCAGCCCAGTTTTTCCCATGGTAATTCAAAGCACCACTTCAGGGCAACTTATTAACTCTGTTTGGCAAACATATGGGTTCTTAGTTGTGATCTACAAGTGATGGCCATTTCTCTGCGTGATCTGCTAATGCACTGTTTTACAGGAAGTTAGAGTAGAAAGGTATGCCAAATTCTGCTGCTGGTACAAGCTCCATAGTAGACTTTGTGCCAGTAGAGAATTGGACCTAGTGGCACTCTGCTCCCATCGTGCTTTTCCATCCATGTCAAAGATACACAACAGTCACTCCTTAACTGAAGTAAGGTGGGGAAGGCAGTTAGTGTTGAAGACGGGGTAGAGTTTCCCTTAAGGAAGGTAGTTTCTCTGCCAGCTATCTCCAGATGTCTTGAGGATGTTTTGTACTGCTTGGCCTTGGCAGACTAGAGAATTTGGTCCCTGGGAATCTTAGCTAGTAAGGTAAAGCTTCATATACACAGCCTGTCCATTCCTTGGATAACTTGCAGTGTTGGTGTGATGCATGTTGAATGATACAGCTTCGTTTCACTAATAACTAAGGCCTATGGGGATGGTCACAACAACAAATCCTATCTAAGTCCATATGCAGTGATTACCAATGGAAGTGGATTCAAGAGCAGCCCTCAGGTTTTTCAGTATATCCTTGTAGTCAGAGCTATGCTCCTCCGCATGATAGATTCGATTGGCTTTCTGCCACAGATGGTCTATAATCTCTTCAAGTTTCAGCAGTTTCTGGGTCACCAATGCCTTTTGGCTGAGGCTGGAAATCTGGATCAAAAACATACACATGTGGGATGGATGTAAAAAAACATTACATTTCTAATTGGAAACTTCTACCTCATGGAATGCTAGGCAGACAAGTACCAGTAATTTTTTTTTTTACCTTCAGTTGTTATAGCAGAAAGGCAAGTAAGCACATGTTGCAGTTGGGCCATTAAACCTAGTAATTAAACCCTGCTGCCAGCTCCTTGTGAATGAGTACAGTGGATAGATCAACCACCCTGCCTATAAGCCCCTGGCACTGTCATCTAGCCCTGTGTGATAGATTAGGCATGTAGGGGCAACAGAGGGCCTGATCTGGTCCACAGAGAGGCCCCCCACTATTCATCTAACTGTTGGGGTCAAAACCGTGAATATGTCCGATCTGCACGTCTCAAGTCAATAAAATGACCAATAACCCTGTTCAGTTATCGTTATTTGTTAGTTTAGTATTAATTTCTGTTTTTAACTTGATCCCTAAACTTCCAATATGTGCTAACTGCACTGATAAAACACAGCTGACATTTAGAAGGGAAGGGAAACGATGGGCTTTGGTTCCTGGATGTGGGACAACCCAGGTTTTTTACATTAATGGAACTGTAGAGGTGGTTATAGATTGCAGATACGATACTGGAATTTGTGCAGTAACATCCAGTCAGGCTGTAATACTATCCATACTGGGTGCATCTGCACATGCATTAATGCATTTTTCCTTATGCACATTTAGTACCTCCAATGTGAGGTACTAAATAAATGCACATTTGGCTGCCCTAATGCACAGTAGCAAAAGCATGCTTATTTTTAGTGATGCTTAAACTGTAATAAAAGATATCACCTCTACCATGAGTTCTGATTCCTTTTGCCTCTAGACCAATATGGCTACAACCTGGATACGTGATGCTATGTTGAGACTCTGACCAGTATACACTTGAGGCTATCTCCATTCCATGTTCTCTCTGATGGTGAACCCCATCTTCCTGTCTTCTGACACATATCCACTAGCTGGGACAATTCTAATTG